CTGGAATGTGACCTGGAACACAGCAGGCGCCACCTATGATCATTAAAACAGTACACTAGCTGAGCAAAGGTACATTAGTCTATGCCAGTGGTCAGCAAACTCATTAGTCAACAGAGCCAAATGTCAACAGTACAACGATTGAAATTTCTTTTGAGAGCCAAATTTTTTAAACTTAAACTATAGACGTAGGCACATTGTTATTAACTTCATTAGGGTACTCCTAAGGCTTAGAAAGAGCCACACTCAAGGGGCCAAAGAGCCGCATGTGGCTCGCAGTTTGCCGACCACAAGTCTATGCTCAATAAATAGCATCGATTTAATGAGAGCAGTGTTTCCTTATGAAGAACTTATCTATTTTTAAATGATCTTATTTTATTAGGCCATGTGAAGTTTAAAAGGCAGTAAGCCACTCATCTCCTTTCTGCCTCTATGGATTTGCCTGTTCTGGACATTTCACATAAATGGGATCAGACGATATAGGCATGTTCTAAACGTTCATCCGCGTTGTAGCGTGTGTCAGTGCCTCATTCCTTTCCACGGCCAAACAATATTTCATTGTGTGGATGGACCACGTGCTGTTTGTCCATTCACCGGTTGACGGACATCCGGGCTGTTTCCCCTTCTTCACTGTTGTGAATAGTGCTGCTGTGAACATTCATGTGGCAGCTTAAAGCACATGAGTGATTGCCAGGGGCTGGGGGGATGGGAGAATGTGGAGGGACTGCCAGTGGGTATGCAGTTTCCTTTTGGGGTGGTAAAAAGTTCTGGAACTAGACATAGGTGGTGGTTGCACAGCATCGTGAATGTATTTATTGCCACCGAATTGCACTATAAAATGGCTGACATGGTAATTTTCTCTTATGTATTTCACCACAATTTTAAAAACAGGAAAAAGAAAACAGTAAATGCCTCTTATGAGGGCTCAGATCCTCGATCAAGCCCCCAGAGGTTGACACCGAGACACGAAGGAGGGACCAGACACTTTGGTGGCTGGCGGCTGCCTTCCCCAAACATCACTGGTTTCCAGAATGTCTTGGATTCCCTCTCCTGGAATCACTTGCATCTTTTCTCTGCTTCTGAGTCAGCGCCTGCCTGTAGGGTCCCCAGAATGGTGGCCCCAACTGCCCTGCTCAGTCCTGTCACTCTGAGATCTTACAGGGATGGGTCAGAGTCAGTGACTTGGAAACAAGAGTCTCCAATGGGCGAGACCAGGGTCGTTGGGCTGTGTTCACAAACCTCCATGCTCTCCAATGTCTAGAGCAAGGTTTCTCGTTTCTCACCTGTGGAACCCTTGGCACTTGGGTCCATATCATTCTTTTCTATGAAGTGTGTGTGTGTGGGGGGGGGGGGGGGGGTCTGCTTTCTCCCGCCTTCCTAAAATGTCACCAGTGGATTTCATGTAACCCACGTACAGTCTACTCTTTGGATTGGAGTGTATAAAATATGGGGGACAACATTGCCATTCTTTGGAACATCATCTCCCACTGTTGAGATTGTGCTTCCCGGCGTACGAGCGACATTTCTGGACAGTTTAGCTCAAAGGCACTCACAGAAATTCTTCACAAGTTGGAGGATTTCTTACGTTGTTGACAAATGCCACACACGCACACATGTGCCTGCACTTGGTTCACAGTTGCCGCCCGTGGGGCTCTTTCACGTTTGTCCATTTTCCTTCCTCTTTCTCGCGGGGAGCAAGGAGGCAGCGAGTGAAATCACCAGTGAGTG